GTCAACTCTTCTCCTGGGAAAAGAGTGAAGGATATGACCAATTCCTATCAAATATCCCAACAATGGTCAGTGCAGATGACAACCAAACCCTCATAAATCCACCCTCCGAGGAAGAAGTCAAGGAAGCCATTTGGAACTTAGATCCAGAAAGTGCAGCAGGACCTGATGGTTTTACAGGAGATTTCTATAGACAATGTTGGGATATTATCAAAGTTGATGTAACAAGAGCTGTCCAGGAATTCTTTTTAGGAATCCCCATTCCTAAAAATCTAGCCAAATCTACCATCATCTTGATCCCCAAAAAAGATAATCCTACCACTTTTGAGGACTTCAGGCCCATCTGCTTATCCAATTTCATTGCTAAAATTAACACAAAAATTATAGCAATGAGGCTAGGTAAGCTACTGCTTGATTTAATCTCCCCAGAGCAAGGAGGATTCATCAAAGGAAGACAAATTCATGATCAAACCCTAACAGCCCAAGAGCTAATCCATGGCATCAACTACAACACAAGAGGGGGAAACCTAGCTATCAAACTTGACATGTCTAAGGCCTTTGACAGAGTTTCTTGGGACTTCTTAGAGCAGATTTTGAGGAAATTTGGCTTCTCAGAAAGGTTCATCAACCTAACCCTTAATAACCTCAAGTCTACTACCCACTCTATTCTGATTAATGGCTACCCTAGCAAATCCTTCCAGCCCAAAAGAGGTCTCAGAAAAGGAGACCCCCTCTCTCCTCTTCTTTTCATCATAACAGCAGAGAGCTTCAGCAGAACCATCAAACACAAAACCTACCAGGGGGACTCTAAGCCTATACAAAATGGGCAAACACTACATGCCAATCACCCATCTAGCTTTTACTGATTTTCACCAATGGTGCTGCCAGTAACCTTGCCAAATTCTCAAACTTTCTGAAGGATTATGAAAGAGCTACTGGACAGAAAATAAACCTCCACAAAAGCTCTTTCTATACCCCTGACAAAACTCTAACAATTCATGCTATAAAAATGGGGAATATGCTCAACATGCAAAGAGGACAATTCCCCTTCAAATACCTGGGCACTCAAATTCACAGAGGTATAAATAGGAAGAACTACTGCAATGATCTGCTCAATCATTTCGACAAGAAATTAAAGGGATGGACTAAGAAAATGTTATCCCAAAGTGGAAGGCTAGTTCTCATCAAACATGTTCTTAGTGCCATCCCCCTCCACATCCTTGGATCTACTTACCTACCCAAAAGTATCATCAACTACTTGCAGCAGAAAATGAGTAATTTCCTTTGGGGATCCAAAGATGAGCACCTAAACTATCATTGGAGCTCTTGGAAAGACATCTGCAGACCCAAAGAGGAAGGGGGACTGAATATTACCCATATTGAAACCTTACAGATGGCTTATGGTCTCAAAATGTGGTGGAGTTATCTGAACAATAACTCTCTTTGGGAAGACTTCATGCATCACAGATACCCTCACAGCTTCAACAACCCCCCCAAACTTATGGACTCTCCAACCTGGAAGAGACTGCACCGCATTCATGACAAAGCTATCAACATCATCAACCTCAACAATGACAACCAACCATCCTGGGATGATGGTCAAACCGGCTTCAGCCTAAAGAGAGCTTACAATGCCTTGAAAGAGAAACACCCCACTCACACCTTTCTCAAACACTCATGGAACTCTAAACAGTATCCTAAGATTTCTCTTTTTCTCTGAAAGACCTACAAAAATATTTTGCCTTTCACTAACAACCTCACAAGATTTGCAGTTACTCTGCCCTCTATTTGCTTTTTATGCAGGAAAAATATTGATGAACAGAATCACACACTCAAACAATGCAGTTTTAGTAAACAAATCTGGACACACTTTGAGGAACAATTCAAAATCCCTAGAAGTACCACTCACGGGATATGCGCATACCTCATGACATGGTGGAAGGATCATACAAGAAACAACAATCCACAAAAGCAAATCGCACCAGGAATCATAGCATTTGAAATCTGGAAGGAAAGGAATCGAAGAAAACATCAAGACGAATCAAAAACAACCTCTCAGATCATCCAAATCATCTGGAACAAGATAATCGAATGGACATTAGGAAAAGGGAAAGGGAAAATTTCTCTCAACCTTGAATACCCCCTCACACAGAAACAGACCATCCGAATCTTCAGGTGGCAAGCAACCAACACTACGGTGA